GTTGAATAGTCTTCTATAAATGTTTATTTTTTAAACTTTCTTAACATTTCTTTACAACATTTTTTTATAGCTACTTTCTTAACATTTCTTTACATATTCTTTCAAAGGAAGATGAAACTATGTGTTTTTTAAGTTTAGTTGACATTTTGTTGTCTTATTGTTATGATATCAGAACTACAGAAGCAGAGCATACGGTCAGTTTTTTTCTTTTTTATTTAGAAAGAATTTTGAAAAATGACAAATTTGACATTTCCTAATTTTTTAGACTTGCTCAGCATGGACAATATCAAAACTAAGTTCTACGCTGTCTTGGCTTGAAGTATTTGTTAATTTTTATCTTTTTATGTTGTAATTTTTATTGTTTTTATCATTTCTATGGTAGAATAGGTTGTGTTTTTTTTTTTTTTTTATGATTTTTTTTGTTTTATAGTCATCTTAAAATTGTGTGAAGACTAACAAATTGTGTTATTGTTAACAACAATAGTAGTAACAACAATTGAATAAGAAGTTCAGTAGTACATTGTTTAGTGTAAAGATACTTACACTAAACGTACTTTCCTGTTGAGAAATTGTAAAAACATTGCTACACTTTTGGCAATAGAAATTTAAAAAAGTTAAATAATTATTAAATCCAAAATTTTATTAATAGGAAGTTTTTTTTTGGAAAAACCATTTTGAATGAGCTTTTTCACTTGAAGCTAAAAATTATGTGTTTTCAACACTTTGTAGACTTTTAATTTAACAAGGTGGTAATGGTAAATTAAAAACAAACAACTGTTTCTGAACAGCTAAGCGCTACCTAAAATATTGCGAGAAAAAAAAATTTTAGTTTTAAAAAAAGATGTTACTTTTTGTTAAATTTGGTACAGCAAGAAAATTAGAGGTTTATATTATAATTTTATTTTGTCTGGTAATGAATCGAGACTAGATTTTTAACAAGATAGATTAAATTTTTTTATCATAACAAGATGGTAATGGTAAATTAAAAAGTAAATGAACGACTTCTGAAATAGGTTGTTTATCCTCAATATTTAGTTTAAAGTTTCTTTAAAGAAAATATTGTTATGCTTTATGTGTTGCATTTTGAATTGATCCAAAGAGTTCATAAAAAAATGTAGAGATAAAAATGTATTTTAAAAGAAATGAATAATTGTTTTCTTTTTTTAATTTTTCATTAGGTGCACAAATCTTTAAAAGATGTTTTGGTGAGTTTTGCTTCTCGCTGTTTATGCTATCCTCTCTATCGCAATTGGGATTTATTTGTCAAAGTTATAGATGATGCAAAAAACTTGTTTCTGCATGGTAAATTTTTTTAAAATTTTTTTCATTACTTTTATTTTAGGAAATAGTTTGTATTGTTTAAGGTTATCTGTTTTCAGTTTATAATATTCACTTTATTTAATGTTTTAATTTTGTTGTCTAATTATTAGTGTAATTCAGCTTTTTAGTTATCTTCGTATATTTTAAATACACGGTCTATATTATAACATTTTATATTACTTATAACACTATTAGCTTGTGCAGAAATGCAAAATTCTATAGTGCAATGCAAATCTATTGGATAGGTTAAAGCCATAAACAGTAAAGCGAATATCTAAGAATTATGACTAGAAAAATAGTGAGTCCTTTGAAAGTAGTGAATCCTGTAAAAAAAAAAAGTAAATTTGGCAAAAGTATAATTTACTAACTCTTAATCTCAAGGGAGTATTTTTGTTGTTGAGAGAATGTAGTTGTCAAAGTGTAGTTTATGCTTATAATGCAAAACCTTTTCTGTTTTTATTTTTCATTTATACTTTTATTCTAATGATAAACAAGGGTGTGAACAAAAGGGTAATAAACAAGGGTGTGAACAAAAGGGTGATAAACAAAGGTGTGCTTTAAAGGGTGATAAACATGATAAACATAATTACGTGTTTGTAATGATTTGCATATTTTATAATAGCAGATTCTACAGGGTTCTGGACATTGCAAGCAGAAAATTGAAAAATATATCCGCAATTATTTGGACACAATACAACTTTTGTAAAACAGAAGTTGAATATATTTGACAGTTTGTAGTTATAGGATATCGTTTCTCTGTGCTCAATCATGGTTATGCTCTTGTTTGAATTTTTAGATTTATTTAAAAGGAAAGGCTTGCACATCTTCCACAGTAATGTGGAGGAAGACCTAACGGAATCAGTATTATTAAAAAACATTTTTTACTTTCCTATTCAAGTTCACCTCATTATTTCTTTGTTTTCTATAAAGAGACAAAGAAATCTCTGATTTATCTGCTTCTAGATAATTTTTTAATTTAGAGCTGAGTTTAATTGCTTTTCGTGTTTGGTGATAAATGGCTTGTTACCTCGCAGAATTTTTTTTTTCAAAGGTACAAATAGATTTAGAGTTTTGCAAAAAATATCTTTAAGTGGAAAATATCATCACAAAATACTGTAGAAAAAGATAATTACTAAAATATTTCTCTTAAAATTGAATGAGGGTTTTAAAATTCATTTAAAGCAAGTTGGTAGTTTGACATGAACTACTTCAGTGTTTAATTTAAAGTTAAGCCGTTTAAATTCAATTTAAATTAAAATTAGCTTAGTTTAAATTTCAAAGGGTAAAGTTCGGACATCATTAGACAGAAATATGTTATTTATTTGATGTAATTCTTTCATTATTATACATAAGAATGACACCATTATGATAAGATATAATGAGATAAAAATGCTCCCGCTTTTTATTTGGTATTTTTATCTCATTTTATCTCATTTTGATGAGATAAAATAAGATAAAACACCACTTTGATGAAATCAATTCAATAAGAATTGTTATTACCTGCATATAAAAACCGATCACTAGGGAAACAGTCATTTAGCTTAGTTTCGCCAAAAATAAGCACATCAACAGTTTTACATTTGTGAGTTTATTTCGAATAGAATTAATATTGATAAAAGTCTTGCTTTTATCGATATTAGTTCTATTTTGATGATATTTAACCATTAGTTTATATAAATCAGACTTATGACTTTATTGGGGTTGTTTGGCTTTTTTGTGAACAAAAGTCATCGGTGAGTAATATTTATTAAATAGAAATCACGATGTCTTATGACATCATGTCTTATGAGTCCTTTATTTAGATTAGAGTTATTAATAACATTAAAACGGTTAATTTTTAATCGCTAATATTAAAATGTCAACTGGGCTTTAGCGTTTTCAAAACGAAAGGTTTGTGTAAACAAGATGATCATACACGATGGATTCCAACTCAATATATGCCCGACAATGTTTCTAAGTTTGTCCACTACAGTTTCAGATAAATCGTCGACACAATTATTTGTTACTATATAAAGAATTTGAGGGTTCTTTCTTTAAAAGTGGAATTGAATTATAGTATATATGATGGCTCCTTTGAATTTAATTTGAATTTAATTTTTTGAAAAAAAATCACCATTTAAAAGCAATACCATGTGGTCATTTATAATTGTTTGTCTCTAAAGCAACACAGGTAAAGATATCTTTGCTGGAATTTCCTTCGTTGACATTTTCAACTATTACTTATAGTTACTTATAGGGTACTTCAATCCACGTTTCATAACAACTTTCATCATGCAAACTGGTTTTATCATAATTCCTAATGTTACAAGGTGGAATTCCTTCAAGCTCATTTTTAATGTTTTTAAAGTAAACTTTTAGTTGTTCTTTGTTTATAACTGCACTTTTTTTTTTAATGTTTGATGCAATTTTTTGGGTTAACTGTAAACGCTTCATAAAATTTGAGACTAAATCATCACTGAGAATTATGTTTAAAAAGATTTTTACTGTACAATTTTTTAATTTTAAATAAGCGGCAACTAACATTTTAACATCAAGGCAATCTTTTTTTTTTTTCTTTTTTAATAACTCACCTCCCCAAAGCCGAGAGGCCACTTTAATCGAGGAGACTACTTTTGTGGTTACAACTCTCTCTCTATAACGCCGAAACACGAACTTCGACAAACAAGGCCGCTGCGCGGTGAAACAAGTTGAGCGTGGTACAGAGACGTGCACTTTTTATGCTTTAAATTAATTTTATTATGGTTACTACGTCTTGGTATGGTTACTACGTCTTGGTATATTCAACCTTTTTGAGGCTTGAAGAGTAGACATTTCTTTATGAATTGCTTTCAAACACTATTTAAAAAAAATCATGTTAGAAAAAGTTTTCCGATATTATGTTTATTGTGTTTACGGGATATTATATTTAAAAATAATAGTAAATTTAAGTTACAAAAACAAACTCTACAATTTGTACTTGTAAAATGTGTTGACTGGTATTTAACTAATATTCAGTTTTGTTTATTCAAAATTAAAATATATTCGATAATAAATAAATATATAAATAGATATTTTTGATTTATTTTTAATAACTACTTTTAAACTATTATACCTATTTACTTTTTAGCTGAAGTCATCAATTTTTTTATTTTTAGGGAAATCTCATATTCTGCGATGTCTTCTTGATATAAAAAGAATTTTTCAAAAAGATGAAAATAGATATTTGTTAAACGAACTTTATATAAATGATTACTGCGTTTGGATTCAGAGACAGAGTAACGTTAAAATTACATCTCTTGCTACAAATATACAAAATACCAAAATATGCAAAGACGATGTTCCATTTAACTTGAGAGAAATAGAAAAAGAAGCTTTTAGAGATTATGTAGAGTATGAATCGCCGCTCAACAGCTCAATTGATGAAGATTCGTCGGCTAACAACTCATCTTTAAGCGAAATTGACTCTGATGATACCGAATCTGAAGATGATAGTAATGTTGATATTAGTTTTAATTTAACAGAAAAGTTATTTTCCAAAGTCTCAGTTAATAAAAATGTACAGCTCGATGTGGTTAACGCTGATGGGTGCTTTGATGAATCAAAAAAAGATTTAGAAAACTGTGAAAATCAGTTTAACGCTGCAAACAATGATTTACAATGCATAAGTACGGGTTTAAAAAATCTTTAAAAATTGTTCACAAGCGTGAGTTTTTAATTTCTTTAACCGTGATGGTAATAAGTTATTATAAACTAAAAATTGTCTATTCTCTCTCTTTAATCTTGGTCACTTTTTAGCAAAAGATGAAATGAAAGTTATAACAACAACCAACATATTAAATATACAAAAATTAAATTAACGTAACTGTGGTTAGAGTTCTGGCTTTAGAACTAAAGCTCCTTAGATCGAAACTGGTTCTGGTTATATATGCATCATTGGAAAGAGACGTGAAGTTTCTGATTAAATGTTATTCCGCGGTGCTCTGTGATAATACCGTTAGAAATTCTTGGATCACCTAAAAATAATTTTAAAAAGTGTTCACATAATTCTTGAAAATTTGTAAAAATATAGTTAATGCTACAGATTACAACACTTAACTGAGAAACCTAATGAAACCGATATTAAAATTGATTCTAATATAAATTAAAAAGTTCTTCTCTACAAAATCTCTCTTTTTTTCTTAAGGCTCCCTGAAGTCTTTGTGAATGGCAATGTCGAGCGGGTACACAGACACCCGTCAAAAAGGATATTTTATATAAAAGTTGCACTTATCTTAACAGCCAATGAAAACTTCAACCATCGATGTTGTTTATTTAGATATATCTAAATTTTATTTTACTTCAAGTGTCCAGGTTGACAGAAGTCTCAATTACGGTTCAAAAATACTAATATGTCCTCTGTTTTGCGTGCGCATTTTTAATTGCGCATTTTTAAATTTAAATGCGCATTTTTAATTGACCGCATGGCCATCAGTTTAGATGACGTATACTAATAGTACTAAAATCAATAATGATTCTGAAGGGTTTGATACGAATTCATTCATATATTATAACCATTCATCGGCTGTACACAACAATGCCTGTACATCAAACGCGTTCTGCTTCAATAAATCCGGTTTCAACGAATTCAGTGTTCGTTTTGGCGTTAGTTAGTCTGCTGTGAGAGGCGTCTTTAGCTCTAGCTAGCCCCTCGACATTTCTAAACAATTGGTTTCTAAGAGTGCTAACTTAGATAGGGGAAATCTTTATTCCTAGGTACCGTAGTTTTGTTATGCCCAATTTTTAGTAGGATTTTTTTTTACTATTTTCTTTTTATGGTAATATGTTTTAGTTTAGGATCCCTGCTTTAAATGGCGCCTCAAGCGCCAAAATCACTTCATCCGGCACCTCTAGGACTAGAATCGCTGCATATTTCTTTAACCGGTGTCAAAACATTATAACATAAAATATAACATAACACAAATTATAATAACAGAACAAAGATTTAAAATTTCTATTAAATTTCAAATTTCCAAAACAAAAATTAAAAAAAAAATCAAATTCAAAAAACTGTTGTTCATACTTGTTGATGTCTCTTGTAACTTTATGCACAAATAAAATTTATAAATCGAGCGCTTTCTTTTAAAATCAATGTAAATAAATGATACTGTTTTTTGCAATTAAATGATAATAATAACACATCTTTAACTTAATATAACTTGCATAAAACAAAAAAGATCCTCTTAAAAAAAATGTCATTAATTTTAAAATGGCCTCAACTTTTGCTATGACCTCCCGTCATTTGCTTGTGAGGACCGTATAAAGACAGCACTGACTACTACTACTTTGAATTTTTCTTTTAATACTGGCATAACAATTTAGCTTCCATTTCAGATCTACTGGCGGAATATTATTCAATTTGAATAAGTCCTTGAAAAAAAATTGAAAAGTTTATCTAATACAGATTTTTCATTAATAATAATAATTTTTTTTTCGTTTACACTTTGCTTGTGTTTTTCATAAACTTTCGTACATGACCGTGCCAAGCTGACTTAGGGTGCTAATGGAAAAATAAACTGTGAAGCTCCTGTCATCTATACAATCTCATTGTATAAACTTTTTGATATTTAACAAGTATTTTAGATGGTAGATCTTATTATTATAACCTTAAATGAGTTGTCCCTTCGTTGGAGTGGCCCTGCTCTCATATTGTTTTCTTCCTTTAATAATTAAATGATAATAATAAAAAGCAAATAAAATTTAAATTAATATTTTAAGTACAGTTTCTTTGAAAAAAAAAATTTATTCCCATATTTTGATTAAATCTACTTAGCCGATTTCAAAAGTGTATTAGAAAATATATATTAGTCGATTTAGTCGACAGCCGAGCTATTTAAAAGTTACAACCAAAGCTAGTTTTTATTAATTTTAGATTTCATTTAAATATGATAATTTCAGTATACTAGCCATCTAGCAAACTTACATTACAAGAATTTAGTGATTGTTTGTTAGGCCGAAGCCATTGAACTAGATTTGACAGATCTTGATTAATGTATATGTTTATTTTTATTAACGACTTGTTGATTAGGGTTTATCGAAAAACAACTTTTTTTGAATTTGAAAATTGTAATAGAGCGGAAAAGTTGCATAATGATATAAAAAGTAATTGTGCCAAATTATTTTGTATTTTTTTTATGTCTTCAGTTCGCGCTAGGGTTTTATTTTTTGTAGAAAAACACGTTTTCTGACCTTTTTTACAAAATAAAAATAAAAAATTCTATGCATATACATAAGTTGTAATAGAGTTTAAACATTAAACAATGACTAAGTTAGAAATGGCTACAATTTTTAAGAAAATATTTTAATGTCTTCAGTTGACGCTAGTGTGCTGAGTTTTGACGAAAAAACACTGTTTTTTATTTAAAACAATTTTAATTATATTGTTAATGCTTCCACTTGTCGTCACCTGTCTTCACTGTTACAACAATGGAACAAAAGTAATTAAAATGTAATAAACCAAATAATGCCAATGGCTACAGCGGTGATTTTAAAATGACATTAGTATGGATGTAAAATGTCACTTATTACGTCATTTATTACCATCACCATTAGCATTATTAGAAAATTAGCTCAAAGTACAGGTTATAATTTATTAGTTCTGATTTACATCTGTTTATTAATAAAATACATTGAAATCAAAGAAAATTTTAAAGGCAAAAATGTCTTCCGCTGCAGTGACAACAAGAAAAAAGTCTACTTGTCCTATCTTTGGTTCACCAGCAGACTTACGAGCAAATGTCTTGCCAACATACAAACACGTCATGCTAAGTTATCTTTTATCAATGCAGAAAATGAGAGTGGAAAATAACCTTCTTTGAAAGAAATATCTGAAAATTTGGCGCACAACATTTGTGGGGAAAAGCATTGATACCTACTGTGTCTCATAAACGCATTGTAAAAATGTTTCTTGATTACAATCAAAATTATAGAAGCATTATGAAGTCTGTTAACAAAACGAAACATACAGACAAATTGAAGTCGAAAATAATAACAATTCAAAAGCATGCAGAAAATACTTTATTTGACGAAAGAAGGTACCAGAGAAAGATGTATGGATGTTGGACAGGGGCGGACTGGCCAAATTATTATGATGTGGAAAAATATTTTTAACGGCCCTGTAGGCCAACGAAAAATGAGGAAAAGCAGCAAAGATAACAGACGTAAATTACAAAGTTATGCTTAATTTATAAATATATACATTAATGAATAAATATCGAACAGAAAAAATTTATTAGAATACATATACGTAAAAACAAAGTACTTAACAACGGCCCATGTGGAATAGTCCACATCTTCCACATGGCCAGTCCGCCCCTGATGTTGGATGTAGCGAACCGTTACACAAGCTGAGAGAAATAGTTGAGTTTGTTATTAGAGCTTACTGCCAAATGTGGTTCAATATAAGATATGATCCCTCATGCACGGAAGGTGCTAGATATTTATGGCTAACCATCAATTTATCTCCAGGTATGCCAGTAGTGAAATAAAAAAGTATCATCGATCCAGTTATACAAAGGAATGCTTTTTTTGCACATCCAGAAAATATGCTTCTGGCTATGATATCAGATACTCGTCCAAATGTAAGAAAATTTGCATTAAAACAAATAATGAAAGCAAGATCAATCAAAACAAACAAAATTTGAAAGTTCTCTATACCAGAAATCAATTTTGAAGCAACAGACTATATAGACCTTATTGATTGGATTAAATGTGAACTAAGTGAACCTCCGATTACCACTCACATTTCAGATGAAAATCTAATTGAAATGTTAACAAATGGTAATCTTCCAGATGTGCAGCTTTTCCATGCCATACTCAAGAAGTAAAGAGATGCATCAAACTTGTAACCGAAGCTTCAGATCAAGTTTGCGGTTTGGCTAGTAGAGATGGGTTCATTCGTGGAAGACTTACATTGCGAAAAAAAATGCCTATATTCAACACAAAAAGATAGTTTGAGACAGAGACAAATAAATCAGATAATTGAACTTTATTACAGCTCAACTTTAAACATTTTTCAAAAACATTTTCCACTCTATTAAAACTTTAATTGTACATTATGGACTGCTAAGCTTGTTTTCCAGAAACTAATGAAACAGTGTTTTTTCGTCAAAACTCTGCACACTAACGTCAACTGAAGACATTAAAATATTTTCTTAAAAATTGTAACCATTTCTAACTTGTTCATTGTTTAATGTTTAAACTCTATTACAACTCAAGTATATGCATAGAATTTTTTATTTTTATTTTGTAAAAAAGGTCAGAAAACGTATTTTTCTACAAAAAATAAAACCCTAGCGCGAACTGAAGACATAAAACAAATACAAAATAATTTGGCACAATTACTTTTTATATCATTATGCAACTTTTCCGCTCTATTACAATTTTCAAATTCAAAAAAAGTTGTTTTTCGATACACCCTATTGTTGATAAAAAGCAAATTGGTGACATCAGCAAAATGGTAGCAATTTATGCAGTTTAGCGTTAAATTAAAATTATTAATGAAAAAAAGGAAAAGCAATGGCTTTTCCTTATTTTCATACAAGGCTATTTATTGGCCTTGAGGTACACCTGTTGTGCGATTTACTAAAGAAAATGTGTTACCATTAGTAGAAACAAAATGAAATGTATCATAAAGATATGAAGTAAACCATTGGAGAACAATACC